CCTTGAAAACTGCAAAGGACTCGTCCAAAAAGCAGTCACTGCAGAGTCAGTAACGACTGAGTGCAGATTAAAACAAACAAGAGATGAGATATGGGAAGAAGAGAGCATTTGTTGTATTTTAAGAGATGGTAATATGTTATCAAAACTGTTTGTACTTGCTATGATGAGGGGGGAACTTAGTCATTTTTTTTTCTTTTCTTTTCTTTTCCTTTCTTTTTTCTTTTTCTGCACTTTCTATTTTTCTTTTTCAATCTTATATATTTTTGTAGTTTGTATTAGTTTTTATTTTTTCTAATTATAATCTTTAATTAATTTTTTTTAAAAAAATCATATTTATATGCTAATTATTACCCCATCGCAATGATTAATGCAGATATTAACATCTTGTTATTTTAGCCAATAGCAAGTGATTTCTACCATGAACAACAATGATCAAACTAGGTTTATGAAAACTTGATAGTGATCTGATAATATTTGGCTGGTAGTGGATTTGATTGATTTGGATACAGGTTATCCTCACTTAACAACCATTCAGTTAGTGACCATTTGAAGTGACAATGGTGCTGAACAGAGACTTACAACCGGTCCTTGCACTTACAACCATCACAGCACCCCTGCAGTCATGTGATTGCAATCTGGATGCTTGGCAACCAGCTCACACTTATAACAGTTACAGCGCCCCAGGGTCACATGATCACTATTTGCGACCTTCCCAGCTGGCTTTCATCAAGCAAAATCAATGGGGAACTGCATGATTTGCTTAATGACTGCATGATTCACTTAACAGCCATGGTGATTTGCTTAATGATTGCTGCATAAAATTGGGTGCGACTTGCTTAATAACCATTCTGCTTAATAATGAATGTTATAGTCCCTATTGTGGTCTATTGCTTTATGTGGAAAAAAACTTCTGATAAAATCTACAGGCAGGATGTGTTTGTTACCTGTCTGTATTTGGGGCGGGGGGAGGGGGGCTTCAGATGACTCCTGGTGACTGCCTGGACTAGTCCCTGCAGTTTTCTTGGCAAGTTTTTCAGAAGTGGTTTGCCATCACCTGCTTCCTAGGGCTGAGAGAGAGTTGGCTTCATGCCTAAGGCAAAACTAGAACTCAGTCTCCTAGTTTCTAGCTCAGTGCCTTAACCTCTACACCAAACTGGCTCTCTACCTGTCTGTATACAGCTTCAATATCTAAAATGAAAGTCAGTGGATGTTTTTCATTCACTTTTTCACTCTATAAAGGTACTAGACAAGGATGTTCATTTTCTCCTTTGATTTTTGATATACTGTGTGTTTAGAGCCCTTAGCCTGAGCTATTAGACAAAATCATAATGTCTATGGTTTTTCTCACAACTAATTAGAATATAAATTAGTAATATATGCTGATGATATTTTATTGTTTATTTCTGAACTTCATACTTTGATTCTGGTTTGATGTACTTGAATAACACATTTGGGTAAGTTAATAGATACTGTTAATTGGCCTAAGTTGGAATCGATACCAATAGGCAAATATTTGTTCATTAGTACATTAAGTAATTATCATTTTTGTATATGCATTGAATTTAATCATTGTGGTGTTGGAGATGCAATGTGAATAATACTTCTTTCAAATACATATTTTTTTCAGCATCCTAAAATCACTATATTTCAGGAAGAAGTCATTTCATACATTAACATGACTTTGAGACAGGTTTAATATTTTTTGGCTGTCTATATTGTTTTGAATTACATATCTTCTACACGGAAATTGACAGTTGGATAATGGAAATGGATTCTCTGCACCCCTCTTATTGCTAAGAGAATTGATCTTCATCATTGGAAGCATAAATATATGTCCCCAATTACCCAGAAGACTTAAGATCTGATGTTATTTGCAACTTATGGACAACAAAAATGAAATATGGTGAACCTTTACTGAATTTTTTACATATATACATACATGCATGCATGAATTGCCTATATATATTATTTTCCTTTTCTTTTTTCTTGTTTTTTTCTGTTTAATTAAATAAATAAAGGGAAAAAAAAGAAAAAGAAGAAGAAGAAAAAGAAGAAGAAGAAGAAGAAGAAGAAGAAGAAGAAGAA